TTCTGTTGACTTTTAAAAAAAAAGGTTTGTACCTATGTTGTTTATTTATTATTTCTTGCCTATATCTTGTAATATGAGGAACTACTTTGGCAGTAACAATACACAATGTACTAACCATTGTTACTCTCCTAAAATCTTGTTTTGAGATTTTGTACCATTGTTTTTATTTTTTTTCTTTAAAATAAAATAACTGATATCAAATATATATTAAAAAAAAGAGCTTTCAAGTAATTAAGAGGACTTTTCAATTAGTGGTGGGCTTAGGACAAATCAGTATCCTCTTGGGGAATAGCCTGGATCCCCAAGATGGCTCTTGTAGAACATCAAGAAAATCCAAGTGGAAGATTTAATGTAAAAATGTAAGACCACTAGGAGTACTAGGAGAAAACACAGGCAAACATCTTCTAAACAATGAAAGGCTTTCCAATCATTACTTATTTGGAAGTCACAAAAGAAACAACTGACAATTTTGTCACCTAAAAAAAAAAAATAACACTCTTTGGCATGATGACAAATGACTACAGGAACAGTCGAGTGACAAAAGTTAGGCAGGGCTTGCTATAATAATCTGTTTGAAAGATGAAGGACATGGTCAGAAAGTTCATAGGAAAGGACCCTCAACAGCTGTTAAGACGCAGGAAAAGCCACTTAGACTCACACTGCTAGAAGCTGAGTGTTACACCTACACTGACACACCACTCCCCGCATTAGTCTGGCAAAACCCAAGGATGTAATGACCCTCTTGTGAGAGATTATAGAGAAACAAGCACCCTTACGCTTGGAGGAGTGCAAATTTCTACAACCCTTTGGGCAGAGCAGTTTGTTAGTATCTATCAAAATGCTGACCAAAGCTAAAGCTAGGTCCAGTTCAGTGACATAGCACCTGCCTACAAATAAACAAAACAAAGACAAACGAACCAAAAGCCCTCACAGACCAAGTTATCCCAACTCTGAGACTTTCCTTCTTTTTTTTTCTTTTTGGCAGAACCGGGGATTGAATTTAGGCCCTTGTGCTTGCCAGGCACGTTCTTATTCCACTGAGCCATCTCCCCTGCCCTTCTCTGAGACTTTCCTACCAATAAAATTGTGCATGTAGGAAATGACACATGCAAAGGGTTAGGACAGTAATTTTTGTGATAGCAAAATAATGAACCAGCCCAAAGCCTGTCCTAGGACACTTATTTAATAAATTGATTAATCTATTTAGTGCATTTATAGAGGTCAGCGAAGCTTTCTACAAATTTATAAAGCCTTCCAAGACAAATATTGAGGCAGGATAGGGTGGGGTGTGAGGTGGTACAACCCAGAAAATTGAACTCACTTAAATTAGGGGATATAAAGGAACAACATGAAAATAAAATAAATTAAATAAAAAATAAAAATGAAAAAATGAAGGAACAACAAGCATATATACGGGAAAACATGCTCCCAGTTGCTTGCACTTGCATAAAGAAAGTACAGAAGAATAGACAGAAAACTACTAAAAGTAGCTGAAGGGGAGGGAACAACGAGGGACGCTTCACTGGCCACCTTATTTTAGGCCGCGTGAACTTGAAATATAGAAATGTAATACCTACTCTACAGATTTAAAATGAAACAGAAGGCATTTCAGATTTCTAAAAATGTACATTTCTGAAGTGCAGTGAAGTGACCATACTTCCAGGAAATGGAAAGAAGTAAAACCCCAGTGTGGAAAGATGTGAGAAGGGAAGGGCGCTCCCAGGTGAGAGCCCAGCAGGCGGATGGCGCAGACTGCCCCACTCACTGAGGCAGCTCAGTACAGAGCACCCAGGAGAACACTGGGGGCTCTGGGCCGCAAGTATCAGGTAGCACCGAAGGCTGGGCCGGGTGAGGGCCAGGAGCAACACCAGGGGGCTAGGATGTAGAACTCGAGGAAAAGCAAAAAAGAAGTAACCAGTTAAAATCATCACAGCAAGAACATGCAGTACCATGGTCAGGAGATGAAGTTGAAGACATTGCCTAGAGTGGACTCCCCTCCGCCAAAAAAATAAGGAAATGGAAAGTAAGAGGGAAAAGCTACTACAAGTGAGAGACGACTGTAGAGCACTTGGGTCTCTTTGTCTTAAAGTCAACTGATAAAGTCTTTTGACTGCACATGCCAAGTAAGATAACATACTCACAGTCCTAAGGTTTAGGACATGAACATATGAGAGAAATCCTTAATCTCCTTATCCTGCCTAAGGGATTTTAACCTGTATTAAAATGAAAGTCTGTGAACAACCTAAATGCCCGCGAATAGATTAATAAAATTAACTGGTACATGTATACAATAAGATACAAAGCAACTATTTTTTTTTTTTGTTGTTGTTACAGGGATCAATCTTGGGACCTTGTGCTTTCCAGGTAGGCAGTTATGCTGCTGAGCTATCTTCCCAGCCCAACAAAGCAATTTTTTAAACAAAAAAATGCCCTAATTCGCTATACACCACCCACAGTGAAACAACTCCAAGCTCTTTCACTAAGTGACAAAAGCCAAGAATAGTACTTTACCTTGGAGAAGCTTTAGAGTATCTAACTCTATGTCTCTGTGTGTTCGCATCCAGAAATGTTAATACAGACAGCAGTGTGGAGGAGAGAGGACAACAGTTAAGGGTAATGGCCAGCGAGACAGCTCAGCAGACTAAGCACCTGCTTAGGCAAGCCCAGGGACCTGGGTTTGATCCCCAGTACCACAAGTGCACTGGCCCCACCCCCAGGCATGATGAGCCAGCAATTGAGACCAGCATGGTGGTGCACACCTATAATCCCAGTGCTGGGGAGACTGAAGCAGAAGATCACTATGAGTCCAAGCTGTGTAGTGAGACCCTGTACCAAATACATAAAAAAACAAAACAAATCAGTAGTTAAGGTTAAGACTGTTGATGGTCTGTTTCTTTGATATCATTTGACTTTTGAGCCATAAGAATATATGACCTAATTTTAAAATGTTAAAGATAAGTAGGCACATTAAATGAAATAGGCCACATACAGAAAGACAAGGACCAGAAGACCTCACCCATATATAGAATCTCAAGAAGTTGGATCTCACAGAGGATGAGAATGGAGTAGGGGTTACCAGTGGCCAAGGATTCTGGCAGAAAGGGAGCAGGGAATGGGGGAAACTGATATTTAGGCAGAAGAGATGAATTTCACTGTTATACTGCATACAGTGGGTCTACAGGTAACAGTAAAACATTGTATATGTTTTTTAAAAGCTAGAAGAAAAGATTTGGAATATTTTCATCACAATACAATAAGTACTTGAGGCTACAGATGTGTTCATGCTAATTTGAACATTACACAACGTGTGCATGTATCAAACCATCACTCGCTACCCAATAAATACATACAATTACGTGCCAATTGGTGTTTTTTTCAATTTTAAAAAATGAGCATAAGGAAATTCCTAGACCTCAAGATCAGACACAGATTTCCTCAGTGCGTAGCACAGTGAGAGTGACCTGCAGGAAGGTACATGCTGTAAGATTCCAGAGCACCGGAGAGCAAGAACCTGAAGGCGTCCAGAATGAATGGCGGATCCCAGCCAAAGGGACAGAAACAAAAGTGGGTGACCCCATGCCCTGCCAACCATCCCTGTTCAAAGCCTGGGGGACAACAACCATCAATTTAGGTTTCTATGTCCAACCAGCCTGTCAACCAGAGGTGGGACTAAAGGCCCTTTCTGACCTATTGAGACTCAAACGTCACCCTCCATCACCCCTTCCTAGGAAGCTACAAGAAGGTGTGCGTCCCCAGGGGAAGAAGTCAGTGCTCACCCACAGCACCCTGATGGCTCAGCATCTTGCTCATGTTAGAGGTCAATCGCACTCAGCAAGGCAGCAGTATGGGTCCTGCAGCCAAGTGGCTCAGGGGTAACCTGTGGCTCTGTCCCTAACCGGCCGTGCAAGGTGATGAGGAGGAAGACGCTGTGAGATGCACAGCTGAGAGCACTCCACCTCATTGAGTGTGGGCTGTGGATGCTGCTCTGCCTCTGCCCTCAACGGTCCCCCGTCTCTTCTTTTTTTTCTGATACTGGGAATCGAACTCAGGACCTTATGCTTGCCAGACAGGTGTTTGTGCTGCTAAGCTATATCCCCAGTCCCCCCTCTGTTAGGGCTCTTCTCCCTTTGATCTTGTATTAAGTCGGCTTTTGCTAGCAAGTGGTAGCCTGTGGTGAGCAAAGACATACCCTGGGGAAATCTTGTAGAACCTGGGCCCCTTGTTACCTCAAACGTGCAGATCCTACCCCTTACTGCTCACTCCTGGGAAGGATCTGGACTTTGTATTTGATAAGGCAAAGCTCATGGTGCATGCACCTGCCAAACCTCCCTGTCCCTAGACTGCTTCTAAGGCCCCCTGGGTTCTACATCGGAGTTCTTAATTCACAACGGAACCTTCCCATGAGTTTATACATAAGAAACCAGCACATTCCACATGTGCAATGACAAGATACAACTTCCAGTTGTCCTCATTTACATCATTAATGTGACTATAAGGACGAATTCATCTATGACACTTTCTGTTTTAAAAAAAAAATCTGAGGCTACTACCGCAAGAGAAATGTCTGCTAATGCATATCTAGGTCATGAAGGATTTCTGCTGAGCTGTTTTTTAGGCAACAGAAAAGAGACTGGAGAAGAGGTGGACAGAATGATCCTCAAGCTAGGAAGGGCAGCTATGGAAAAAGCGGATGGCACCACTCAGCAGTACAGGGCAGCTCTGGTGTCCATGGTAACTTCGGGGTGACCAGGCCAGCCCTATCCTCTGGCCTCTCTGTCCCTAGGCTGACATGCTCATTTTCCCCCCTCTCATGGTGGCTGTACCAGCCTCCAATGGCTGGACCATATCCTGAGCCTCTCAGAATCACAGGGACCATCTTAATCAGCCTCCACTGCTACCCACACAGGGGACACTCAATGGCTGCTTCTGCTAATAGCTCTTCAGGCTTCACGTGGCCCCTGAGATAGCCTGATGGGACAGAGGGAGGATGGATGTAATCAAGAAGTGCAATGAGTTATAAGACTCTAAAAGGGTTTCTAGGGATGACTATGAACTATCGAGTTACCTAGCAATTTGTTTCTTTCTGTCTATTGCTCCCAAGTTCTCTAGAAGATCAGAAATTAAAATTACTCCATAAAAATAAAGATGCCAATCTGAGAGAAGATTCCTTGTGTAAAATCACTGATGGTAATAAACAGCACTCTCTTGGTTTTGATAATTACCCTGGCATAGCTGACATGCCTGAAAGTTTGGGCAGCAACCGGCTTCCTATTCCAGCCACCATGATGAGTGACGCCAGTCCTCCAGCTGGCACCAGGCACCCTTCCCTCTCGCACACGCCCTGGTGTCCTGGTGTGCAGCGCGCGAGGAGGCAGCCATAGTGGGTGCAGAGGGAGCTCAACCATGGAAGAAGCCGATTCTAGAGCTACGCGGAGGCTCGGGCCACAGCCATGACCGCTGTGCACAGAGAGGCAAGGCAAGGCTCACCTGTGTAATGCCCACCTTGCAGGCTGCCATGGTGGTTGCAGACGGCATACAAGTCATACAGGAAGTCCAGGGGGTAGGCGGCGGGCAGGCTGGCTGGCTGCTTCCAGGAGGGCCAGGGACCTGGCAGCGGCTTGCCGTTGGTGCTCCTCTGAGCAACGTGGGGAGCCATGTTGAGTCCAGAGAGAGGAAACTTGATGAGGGTGGACAGCTTGTTCCTTCTCTCCCCCACCTGACAGAATCGTTTGAGGTGGATGATGAGGATGTCCGGCAGCGTCCACAGACTCAGCTTCACCACGCCCTGCTGGAGGACTCTGCAGTGGGGGCACTTCCATGCGTCATCCTGGGCCAGCTGGAAAGGAAGCCAGCAGGCCTGTGACGCCCCCTGCAGCACACAGCCAACCCCACTACAAGGCAGCCAGCCCCCTTCCCGGCTGGAGAGTGGGCCCCAGGGTGGGACCTGTTCCTCCTTGGTGTAGAACTGAAAACACTCATCCAGGGTACAGCTGTGCTGCTGGTGTGCCTGCTGCTGCCGCCGCACGCTGTCTGCATCAGGGACCTGCTCTTCCTGGAGGCTCCCAAACAGGCTGTGTGGAGAGAGAGGACACCATGGCACTCAGGGCCCTGCCCTCTGGAGGAACTTCTCTGTCTGTCCCCGCAGCAAGTCAGCAGGACGCACTGGCCAGGTGCAGGTACGGTGCCCTTCCTACAGGCTCCTGGAGACTGCGCTGCATATGCCTGACTTCACACTCGCTCTATCTTACTGCCTTGTTTTCCCTCCCAGCTCCTCAAGGGACCTGAATCCTGGCTCATCCATGTTTGTTTTCCTTGTTCTAGCTTAAAACCTCACACCTGGAAGGAGACCAGTAAATTCTAATTGGGCTGAAAAATATCCTTTTTCAAAGAAAGTCTGATAAAAGCTAATAAAGAGTAAACTTGAACCTGACAGCCTGGGTTCTGGTCTCCACTCTGCCACGCATGTCACATGACCTTGAGCAACTGCTTAGCTTCCCTGTGCCTCCAGTTCTACCCTGAGAAATATGGGGTGAAACGGTACCTACCTCATGGTCCTCACGTGGCGAAGACCCAATAAACTGCTCAGAGCAAATAGGGACGAGTGGCAGGGGGAGAGCTATACAGCATCTGCTACTCCAGCTCCACTATCGTGACTGCCGGCGCCGTCGGGGCCATCCACACACTAACACCACCCGGAAGGTCTCCCAGAGGGATGGGGCACAGTGCTTCAGGCTGTGTACACCGCCTCATGATCAGCCCAGGGCCAGGGGGCCCAGAGAGGATTTAGAGAAGAGGCAGCACCTGTCTCGGTGCTGCACAAGGCAGGTTCCATGACTCACCACTCCTTGGTGGCACAGTCCCACTCCACGGCCAGCTTGACATGCGGTGGGCCACCAGGCCTCCTGAGGTGCAAAGCCCTAAGGAGAGAGCAGGGGACCCCATCAGGAACCATGGCGCTCCGCCCACAGTGCTTCCTGCAACCTGGATGGATGTTCCAAATAGAAACACCATAAACTGATGGAAAACCAAGCTGAGCCACCTGGAGTTGCAAACCCTGCTGAAGGGCTTAACCTAAACTTGTATGTTATTCCCCTCATGCCTTTGGAAGGCTGGGAATGCTAAGGATTTTGGGCTACTATAAGGTCATAGATCAACTGTCCACAGATCACCTGTCTAAATTGCAGTCTCCAGTGACCTTCTCTGTGTCTACAGAAAGCTCCACGTGAATATCCTGCAGAAAGAGTCAACACAGAGGAACCCAGAGCTGCTATCCATCCCCAACAGAATGCAAGGAAAGCACACTCCAGCCCACCACACCACCTGTTTTTGTTGTTGTTGTTGTTGTTGCTGTTGTTGTTTTTTGAGACAGGGTTTCACCACAAAGTTTGGGTTGGCCTTGTGCTCACTTCTGTAGCCCCCATGCTGAGCTCAAACTCATAGTAATCCTCTTGTCTCAACCTCCCAAACTGTGGGATTATAGGTATACACCACCTTGCCCAAGGTTCCAGGGTCGGCATGGCTTGAGCAGATCTGGGGACCAAACTCGGGACCTTGTGCTTGCCAGGTAGGTGCTAATGCCTCTGAGCTATCTGCCCAGCCACACCTAAACATTCTTCCAAACTCAAGAGTATAAAGGGAAAAAAAAAAAAAAAGAGTATATAGGGAGTCTATATGAGTTAACCTGAAGATCTTTCCCACTGCTGGGGCCTGGCCCATTTCAGAAAAGGCTGGGAGGTCTTAACTCAGAAGCGATGAGACTAGAAGGAGGTAGAAGGCATGAGGTTTTGCCCAGAAGTCGACAAAGGCAGATACAAAGGAGTCAAGGCCACACCCAAAAGACTCAAGAATTTACAGGAGAATAAGCAGGGGAAGTCAGATGAGCTCCAAAATTATTGAAAAGAAGCTTTCAAGCTCAAGGAAGTCACAAAGACCGCTGGATAAGAACAAAGGATCTAGGGTAGACTGGGGCACCTTCCTATGTGACCAAGAGCCAGAGGGGGCTGGGAGCAGGTGTGGAGGGAGAAACTCTTCAGGCCTTTGTTTGTTTGGGATAAGTACTGACTGTCTTTCCTCAACTTCCTGTAAACTTGGAAGAGCTAAGCTACGCACACGAAAAGCCACAGGCTCTGCCCCCTTTATTTCCTTTCCAGGTCCTGAGCATAGCAGCAGGCACTCTCCTTCATCCACACCTTGTGCTCCCTGAAAGCAGCGCTGCCTTGCAAGCGTGAGACTGGGCATTTGGGATGAATATGTGACTCAGGAGACACATGTGATTAGAAAGCCCTGTATCTAAGCCTCTTTCCTTGGGGACGCCCCCACTCCCTATTTCCACAATGAAGGAGGCCCGCAACTGGGAAGCTCTGCCTTAACAGGGGCATGGAGGCATGATTCAATTCAGAGAGCACATATTCAAAGGCTCAAGTTGGGGTCATATCTGAGCCAAATCCTTTTAAAAGCGTGAAACCATGTCTTATCAATACAACCACAATTTTGATCTTTTCCTGCCTCAATCCTCAGTCTACTTGTCCAGAGATATCTAAACCTAAGAGGAGAAAAGGAGAATAGGGCTTCCTCCCCTGGCCCTTCAGCTCCTTGTGCACCCCTAGGCCTCTGCAAGGTGTGTCATGTTCTTTATGTTTCAAGCTTCAAGTTTCTAACCCAACGCCCCCACTGCACTTAGAGACCAGGCGCGAAGCCAGCAGGGGCTCTGATGTGAAAATCCAAGCTGATTAGGAAACAGGAAGCTCAACCATCTTCTCTCTACACTAGCTTTTCTCTTTGTAATACATAGAGTCACTGTCAACATTAAATTAAAGTAATATTCTCTCTCAAAAAAATAGAAACTCCATTTGATCCAGCTATACTTCTTCTGAGTATCTTCCCCAAAGAGTTAAAGACCTCATATGGCAATGATCCATGCATACCATGCTCACACAAGCATAATTCCTTTTTTTTTTTTTTTTTTGGCAGAACCGGGGATTGAACTTGGGCCCTTGCACTTGCCAGACAAGTGCTTATTCTACTAAGCTATCTCCCCTGCCGCTATGAGCATAATTCCTAACAGATATTCTTGGAGATAGTCTATATGCCCACCAACAGATAAATAGAAAAGAAAATGTGTGATACAAACTGAATAGAATACTGTTAAGTAACAGAATATGTATTTTACATGTTCTTTTTTACATTACATTTTTTGTTGTTGTAGTCTGAGACATTACTCATGAATAATTAATATTATATGTAATGAAGTAGTAGTCAGCCATTAAAAAAAAAGGATAAATTGCTAGCAGAGACCATAAAGTTGAGTGAAATGAACTAAATCAGACACAGGTTTTGAATCCTAAGTCAACCCCAAATGTTTTCTATTCATGATCAATTTGATTTGGGGAAGAGCCAGAAACAGCAAGGTGCCAGAGCCAATGAAGAAGGGAGATGAGGACACCGCAACGTTTCTACGAGCCTGTCTTGGTGCTGAATGGCACATGGCGGCAGCATTCACTGTATTTTTACTCCTGACATTCATGAAAGAGGACTTCCAAACTGCTTCAGAAACTAACAAGAATCTTGGATACTGTGTTTGAAGGGAAGGAAAGTACTCTGAGGGAGATTCATGGCAATGTGTCTTCTATTGTAATAATTTTTTTAAATTAAAAATTCCCTGTATACTTGAGCATGTGATCAAAAGGTTCTGGAACGTTCTGGATTGCCTCATCCTGATTCCCCATCTCTCCCATCAATCAGCTTTGGTTTACAAGTCAGAAAATCAGCCAACATTTTTGAGAACTTTGGATCTGTAGGAAACTGGACTACAAATGTTCACAGCAAAATGGCCCTGCGCTGCTCCTACGCTGGCCCTCTGGCACTCTGCAGGGCGGCAGAGTGCAGAGGTAAGCATGTGGAGAACAGGCAGACACAGCCATGCAGGCTTCACCCACCGGTCACAGTCTACAGCCTTCTACAGTTTGGGGCCTACGACTCAGTGGTCGCATTCTCACCTCCCTGGAGAGGGGACACCCACCAGATGCAATAGTAAGGCGACCTAATCAGATGGATATGGGTGTTTTGGCTAGAACCACCTGGGTTCAAATCTGGGCTTGCCATTAAATGGTGTGTGAGTGTAAGCAAGTTAGCTCATTTCTGGGAAGCCTGGTGTCCCCTCATCTTTTAAGCAGCAATGATAGTATCTCTGGATATAAAGGCTAGGAGAGTAGAATATGTTTAAGGACCCAGCAAGGCAGTTGGTGCCAGAGAGGTAAGTGACCAAGAAGACCCAGTACTGTAAACAAGTTTGTTTGTCAGCTTGCTTTGGGTAGTTTTTGGTTTTTGTGGTTTTTTGTGTGGTTTTTTTTGTTGTTATTGTTGTGTTTTTGTTTTTGTTTGTTTGTTTGTTTGTTTGTTTTTTGAGACAGGATCTCACAATGCAGCTCAGGCTGGCCTTTAAGTTCACTTTGTAGCCCAGGCTGGTCTTGAATAGGCAACAATCCTCCTGCCTCAGCCTCCTGAGTGCTGGGATTACAGATACGCACCACTGTCAAGCTTTGGTTGGTTGGTTGGTTGTCTGTTATAATGCTGGAGAAGAAACTCAGGGCCAGTGCTCTTTCCAAGGCCCTACCACTGAGCTACATCCTTAGCTGTAACTTGACTGACACATAGCCTCAAAGGAGTCCAGTGAAATGAGAGCACATTCATTCTCTTACCAAACCTGGAGCCTCCCCTTACCTGTCAACAGCCCAGTGACAGAGGGGCCGACTATCTTGCGGAGATAAGTAGCTGCAGGCCAGAGACAGCCCCACAACCCGGATGGAGAACAGAGACCCCAGGTTCTGCCAAGATAAGAACAGAGACAGGTTGTCAGGAAGTCCTGGTGCTGACTTAAATTGGACTTTTTCTTTTAAGTACTGGGAATCAACCCAAAGCCTTCACACTGAACATTCTCAGACCTTTTTAAAATTTTGCATTTGCAGACAGGGTCTCATGTAGAGGGCTAAGTATCATATAAATTACTTGAACATGTAATCTCTTTTCTCTATAGTGTTTTGTTGGGTTTTTTTTTTTTTTGTATTTTAGGGAAGGGTCTACAGGGTGTTTAAGGTCTCACTACTAGATCAGACTTGTAGTGATCTGCTTGTTTACAGCCTCCCAAGAGCTGGGATTACAGGCGCATGACACCATGCTCAGTCTCAATTGCTGTCTCAGTGTGTCCCTAGTGGGGGGCCAGCACAGCAGGCCTGGGGATCAAACTCCCGGTCCCTGCACCTGCTTGCAGGTGCTTTACTCCACTGAACTATTTGTCTGGCCCTTCTATAGTATATTTTGAATATTTATTTAATAATTAGTATTTAAAATCAATACATATAAAGGCTTTTTTAAAAAAGATTTATGCTCAGGGGCTGGAGAGATGGCTCAGTGGTCTAAAGCACCTACTTAGAACAAGCTTAGCAAAGCATCGGGGACCGCGGTTCAATCCCCCAGCACCACAT